AGCTCCAAGTTCTCTGTGACCAGTACGTCGAACTCCACGCCCCGCTGGATGTCCCAGGCCTCGCCCCACGAGTCGGTCAGCTCCCTGATCGCCTCCAGCAGGCGAGAGCTCCCCGCGAAGAGCTCCAACACTCCAGGTCGCCCCATGGTGGGAGCGGCCGGGAGGTCCTCCTCCTCGCCGATCGCCTCCTGCGCCCGCTCGATCTCGGTGTAGCTCTGCTCGGCCAAGGGTCCCCAAGCTCCCCCATCTCCTCGGGCAGCTTCCCGTCGGACGTCCTCCTCCGTGCAGTCGCAAGCCAGGGCGCCGAAGCCCTCGTTGGACGCATCCGTCATATATGCTCTCGGCCACCAGCCCATCTCCAGGTTCGACTCCATGTAGACCGAGAGGGACGCGACGGCCCTCAACTCGCTCCTGACCTCCTCGGGCAAGCGGTGCGGCACAACACTCTCCTCCTCGGTGAACTCCCTCAGCCACCTGTAGGTCGCGTCCAGGATCGCAAACGAGGGGCGGAAGACCATCATGGTCCAAGTCCAGTGCCCGACCAAAGAAGCCACCGCCGCAGGTCTGAGAGCCACTTCCAACACCGCCGCCTCGGTAGCCAGCACGACCTGCTCCATCTTCTTCGGCTGGATCCTCAGCGCGTAGGGTCTCGTGGCGGCAATGCACAGGCCCAGGCCGTTCTCCATCCCTTCTCCCCAGGCCTCCTTGTGCACCGCGAGCCCCTTGCCGTTCAGGAGCTCCTTGATCATCTCCTTGTCCTCCAGGATCTTCAGCTCGCCGTCCTCGCCCTCGAGAGTGAAGCCGATGTAGTCGTCGATGTGCAACATCAGCAAGAACCTGATCGCCTCCTCCTCCGATAGGCCAAACGACGGGGTGGGCTTGCCGTAAGTCAAGCTGGGGGCCTTCAGGGACTCGAAGCTCGCCTCCAGGCAGCTGTGGGCCAAGAACACCGCCCACGCCGAGCCCATGACTAAGCTCGAAGCCCCAATACCAATGTCCTCCTCGCGCGGCTTCGGCAACGCCACGCCCTGCGCCATCCCGTACTGATACAGCTCCTGCGGCGAGACATCCTCCACCACAAAATACTCCGCCAAATACGAACCCCAGTGCAACCGATAGAACCAGTCCGGTACGTCGCCCTGGAAGGAGAAGAGCCGCCGTCCACGCAGCACCGCCTCGTCCAGCTCCAGGAGCGCGAGGCCCGCGGGGATGCCCAAAGGTACCCAGGGGGGATCCACGAAGAGCAAGTTGACTCTTCGGCAGTCCCAGATCAGCCGAGACTTCAAGATACCACCAGTCTTGGGGTCGAAGTCCTTCGCCACCGTGAACAGCCCGACATGTTCGCGTATCCTCGTCACATATGTTATCATTCCAGCCTGCGCCATCCGCAGGGCAAGTGCCAAGCGCTCCTTCTTGCTCCGCCACGCCGGGTCCGAGTAGCTCTTCGTCGCCTCGTACTTCTCCCAGTCGACTTCCCCCGAGCCCTTTATCATCAGCTGGCTGGCCTCTGTGAGGTACCGTCCAGCGAGGCTCGAGATCGCCGCCACCTCCAAGCTCTGGGTCCCCGGCGCTGGGAGCGACACCTGCTCCGCTCTCAGAGGGCACAGGTCGCCCTTCCTCAACTGCGGTGAAGTCTTCGATGACGTAGCCGTCGTAGACCTCGATCCCTTTGCAAAATACTCTGTCGGGCTCCCTCCTGCCAGGCGGCTCAATGCCGCCCTGCCGTCGTTGATGGTCCCCCACTTCGCCCTCGCGGCGTGAAGGTCCCAGGCTTCCGTCACCAGCCTCTTCTGTAGCGGCGTACTCGCACTCCAGTCCGTCTGGCACGTCTGCTTGTCCGTCAGGGTCGATGGATGTATCCAACCATTCGAACAGCCCGTCGCCATACTCCTGATCGCCGCTATCGTCCTCGAAGTCCGATGCCAGGTTGTCCTCGGCTCCTTCTCGGACAGGCTCGAACTCGACCTCCTCGACTGTAGTGGGAACGGAAGCCCAGGTAGACTCCTCAGGGGATCCCTCTCTCTCGCATCCTTCTCCCCAGTAGTCATCTGGGACCACCGAGCGACCTGCGCTCCGACGCACGGGAAAGCCAGCTCGCCACAGAACGGCGCGAGGCTCTAAGTACAAGAAAGGCCTCGACGCACCGACGCCGCCGTGGAAGACCCCACAGCCGATCGTCAGGAAGCTCACCAGCCCGATGTAGCACCACCAACCGAAAGACGTGTCCAGCAGGAAGCTCGGCACGAAAGCGGCTCGCCGCCGCGGCCGTGGTAGAGGGGATTGACCCCTCAGGCCTTGGCCAGAGCACACCACGATAGCTCCGGCCGCAACCTATTCGTCTTCGCCGGCGGGCTGCCCCGAGCGCACCTCACCCAGGTGCTTGCTGAGGATCGCCCGCCGCCTGAGCTTCTCCAGCACCTCGTCGTCGGCCCCCCTGTTCTCGCTGTTGGGGTCCCCGTCGAGGCGCAGGTACTCCTCCGCCAGACTCCAATCGACCTTGGAGCGCCACTTGCCGCCGTGCTGCGCCTTCGGCCTCTGCCAGTCGCTCTTGCACTGCACCCGCTCGTAGGCCTTCCAGATCGAGTACAGGCGCAAGCAGGTCACCTCCGCGGCCTGCGAGTTGATCAGCTCGTCGTACTGCCCCTGGCTCATCATCCTGTCGAGGACCAGCGCCAGCATGTTCAGCTCCTGCGCGATGCCTGCGCCCTGCAGCTCCTTGGAGCGGAGCCACTCCTGCGTCTCCACGCGGGCGCTCCGCCCGCCCTTGTAGAGCCTCGCCAGCACCGTCGGCGCCACGCGGGCCTTGATCCCACCCACGGGGGAGCCTGCCACGCGGCGGTACTTCTCCAGCGTCGTCAGCAAGCTCTCCTTCGGGTTCCGCGACTCCTCCTTCAGCTGAACGATCTGGTCCTTCAAGGGATCGTCGAGCTCGCCCAGGTCCCCGACCTTCTCCCAGGACGCCGCGCTCGAACTCGGCGTAGGCGATCCTGCCTGTGCCCGGGTGCTCGACCCCGAGTCACGCTGCACCAGCTCCTCGTGCTCCGTCAACTTCTTGATGAACGCATCCACCTCGGCCGTGCTGGGCTCGTCTCCTCTGGACGGCGGCGGCCCCGCGGGGGGCGGAGGAGGCGGGCCTGGCTCCGACGCCAGAGCCCCACCGCCGCAGGCCGGGCCTGCTCCCGCGCCGCCCCCGACGTCCAGCCTCGACTTCAGCATGCCCACCGCGTCGGCCAAGTCGGACTGCCCCCGAGCCAACTCCGCGAACAGGGTCTTGGTGTCCCGCTCGTCCCCACTCACATCACTCACGTCCTCGCCAGCGTGCACGGACCCGCTGTCCGAGTCCGAGCCTGAGTCGCTGTCCGAGTCGCCCTCCTTTCGGCAGGAACATCCGTAAGTCCAGACCGCGTAGATCCCGATGAGGACACAGCCCAGGTACGCCGCGCCCAGCTCGAGGTCGCCCGACTCGTACAGCTCACCCACGAACTCACGGAAGTTGTCCAGGTCCTCGATCGCCTGCATCCCCGCGGAGATGGTGTGGTACCCTGCGGCGAAGAAGGACCCGAGATGTAGCCACCGCCACAACCTCCAGCCCACGAAGAACGCCGCCGCAGCACCGCCCCACGTTTTGTGGGCCCACGCCGTCACCACGGTGGTCACGAGCCCCTTGCCGAACCAGGACGCCACCTTGGCCTTCGAGCTCGCCTTCTTGCCCTTCGTCAAGTTAGCCTTAGCGCTCTCGGCGCCAGCCTGTCCCAGCTCGTGCCGCACGATGAGCCGCTCCGCGGCTATGATCGCCTGCTCCCTCTCCTTCTCGCTCAGCCCTGGGTGCTCGGTCCAGGTCACTCCCTTCTTCGGGCGCGGCAGCATCCGCGCCTTGTCCCGAAGGTTGATGATCTGCACCCGCTTGGCGGGGTCGATCGCGGTCCACACCAGCGAAGTCCCTGGGCCGACGCGGCTCACGAGCAGCATCACCACCCCCGTGTTCCTCCCCTGCGTCTGGACGTAGACGCGGTTCCACCTGCTCCACGGCGCCATGAACCCCGCTGGCGACCCTGTCCACTCGGCGCCCCCCGCGAGGTCGAGGGGCTCGACGAGGACCTCCTCGGCCTCCCTCTGGCGGCCGCCGAAGAACTCCAGCAGCCCGTCCAGCTCGCAGAGGGCGAGTGCCGTCACCAGCAGCCAGCCGGGACGCCCGATGGCCTGCGTCGTGGCGGCGCCCGAGCCTGTCGGGCTCGGGGCGAGCAGGGGCTGGAAGCTACCCCTCTCTGAAGGCTCGAGTGCGGGCCTCGCCCGCGAAACCCACGCCTCGAGCCGAAACTTTGCGCCAGGAGAGGAGGGTCAAGCACGAGAGAGAAAGCGCTAGCCCTTCTCCTAAAGTACAGTTGAGGCGGCTATCTGAACGTTTACAGGGGGTGTGTAAAAGTGTGTTTAAAAACGCGTAGAGCAGTTTAAAGCAATAGTCAGGGGCTGATTTTTGTTTTGACTCTCTTTGAGTATTGGAGGGGGGCATTTTGGGAGTATTCTTTCATTTTTCGCGACGTTTTTTTTGACTCTCTTTGAGTATTGGGGGGGCATTTTTGGAGTATTTTTCCAATCTTTCGTCCCAAATCCCCCTGTAGGGGGACACGCCCGACGTTTTTTGATTCTCTTTTGAGTATTGGGTGGGCATTTTTGGAGGATTCTTCCAATTGTTCGCCCCAAATCCCCCCTGTAGGGGGACGCGCCCGAGATGCACTACTCGGGGCCCCCCGCTGCGGGCCACCTCGGTGGTGCAGTCCTCGGCCCCCGCGGCGCGCGGACGGCCCCCCCCCCGGCGCGGCCCGGGGGCCCGCCATATGGCGCGGCCTCCCTCGGGCCCCCCCCCCCCTCCCAGGAGGAGGAGGAGGAGGAGGAGGAGGAGGAGGAGGAGGAGGAGGAGGAGGAGGAGGAGGAGGAGGAGGAGGAGGAGGAGGAGGAGGAGGAGGAGGAGGAGGAGGAGGAGGAGGTCCGATGCCCCCGAGGGCGGCGAAGCTCGCCTGCAGCAGCGCCGAGGAGGGCTCGGCTTGTTTCGACGAGGTGGTGGCCCAGATGGCGGGGGTCCGAGCGCCCTCCCTCTTGCGGGATGCTCTGGGAGTTTCTGCGGCGCTGTCTCTGATGAGAGCACGCGGTCATTTCGGCTCCAGAGACCGCCTTGGCCTTCACCTTGGCCTTCGCATTCGCCGTCGCCTTTGCCTTCGAATTCGCCTTCTCCTTGGCCTTCGCCACTGCCGCCGCCGTCGTCGTCGTCGTCATCATCGTCGTCGTCGTCTTCGTCGTTGTCCCCCTCCTGGGGCTGCCTGTTTCAAATCAGTAGTGGGGGGAGCGGGGGCTGGAGAGCGGGTTGTCATCAGGTCAGGGATCACCCAGAGCGGTACCCGGGCATCACGAACACCTCCAGCTTCGAGGAGGTGCAGGAAAGCCTCTTCGACCGCATGCTGGCGGGCTGCACCAGGCCATGCCCCGCAGTGCACTCGGCACGGGTGCTGGCCGACGGCGGCTCTAGGATGAAGAAGCCATATGGGGACATGACGATGGGGGAGCTGAAGGCCTACATGGACGGCGAGTGGGACGGCATGATCGACGCCGCGGCCTGGAACGCCACGTCGACCACGGCGGCGGTGCACACCGCAGAGGCCGCCGCCCTGCCCGTGGAGGACGGCCTGGAGGCGCACGCGGAGCCCGCCGAGGCCTCGGCCGGCGAGCGCGCCGCGGCGACCACGGCGGCCGAGGGCGCACCCTCGCCAGAGGTCGGGGGGGCCCCGAAGCAGAGGGCACTGCCGCCTCCCCCCTCCCGACAGGGAGGGGCAGGGAAGGGGGTGGAGGGTCTCAGGAGAGGTGCGGCGCGCACCACCGCCGGGCTTCCGCTCCGCTCTTGGCCGGGCCTTCGGCGAAGCGTGCGCCCCCAGTTGGGCCGTGATCCGATGTTTCGGAGGCTTGGTGTGGTGGTGTGGATGTTCCCTCCCCCATCAAAGGGGAGGGAGGCCCCACCCCCCGGCGTCATGTTCTTTCCACACCGTCGACTCCCGGAGGTCTGGACCCTTTCCGCGGGACCTGTTCCTCATCCCGAGTCGCTCTTTGACGGCTCCGAGGCCCGGTGAGGGCCCCCCAGAGGCCGAGAGGTAGCGAGAAGACCGCCGTCGTATTTTTCCCCATATCCTAAGATGGGGTTCTTGCTATTACTTGGACGCCTCCTACTCCCTCTCCCTCCTCCTCTTTCCTCCTCCCCTCCTCCTCTTTCCTCATACTCAGACCTACTCGTACTCAGACTTACTCATACTCAGACTTACTGTTACTCAGACCTACTCATACTCATACTCAGACTTACTCACACTCAGACATACTCATACACAGACTTGCTCATGCACAGACTTACTCATACCCAGACGTACTCATACACAGACCTTCTCATACACAGACCTACTCATACCCAGACTTACTCATACACAGACTTACTCATACACAGACTTACTCATACTCAGGCATACTCATACTCAGACCTACTCATACTCAGACTTACTCAACACACATCAGATTTGGAGGATGTCTCAAGCGGGGCGCTGGTTTCAGCACCCCTAAGGGGAGCCGCCAGGGGTGTTTGCACGGGCTCGTTCGCGGCCATTTTGTGGGGATGTCTCAGGCGGTTTGCTTGTTTCTGGGCCCAACATCCTTCGCTTGGAGAGCAGATTGTGAGGATGTCTCAGAGCGGGGCGCTGGTTTCAGCACCCCTAAGGGGAGCCGCCAGGGGTGGTTGCACGGGCTCGTTCGCGGCCATTTTGTGGGGATGTCTCAGGCGGTTTGCTTGTTTCTGGGCCCAACATCCTTCGCTTGGAGAGCAGATTGTGAGGATGTCTCAGGCGGGGCGCTGGTTTCAGCACCCCTAAGGGGAGCCGCCAGGGGTGGTTGCACGGGCTCGTTCGCGGCCATTTTGTGGGGATGTCTCAGGCGGTTTGCTTGTTTCTGGGCCCAACATCCTTCGCTTGGAGAGCAGATTGTGAGGATGTCTCAGGCGGGGCGCTGGTTTCAGCACCCCTAAGGGGAGCCGCCAGGGGTGTTTGCACGGGCTCGTTCGCGGCCATTTTGTGGGGATGTCTCAGGCGGTTTGCTTGTTTCTGGGCCCAACATCCTTCGCTTGGAGAGCAGATTGTGAGGATGTCTCAGGCGGGGCGCTGGTTTCAGCACCCCTAAGGGGAGCCGCCAGGGGTGGTTGCACGGGCTCGTTCGCGGCCATTTTGTGGGGATGTCTCAGGCGGTTTGCTTGTTTCTGGGCCCAACATCCTTCGCTTGGAGAGCAGATTGTGAGGATGTCTCAGGCGGGGCGCTGGTTTCAGCACCCCTAAGGGGAGCCGCCAGGGGTGGTTGCACGGGCTCGTTCGCGGCCATTTTGTGGGGATGTCTCAGGCGGTTTGCTTGTTTCTGGGCTCAACATCCTTCGCTTGGAGAGCAGATTGTGAGGATGTCTCAGGCGGGGCGCTGGTTTCAGCACCCCTAAGGGGAGCCGCCAGGGGTGGTTGCACGGGCTCGTTCGCGGCTATTTTGTGGGGATGTCTCAGGCGGTTTGCTTGTTTCTGGGCTGAACATCCTTCGCTTGGAGAGCAGATTGTGAGGATGTCTCAAGCGGGGCGCTGGTTGCAGCACCGCTATGGGGAGCCGCCAGGGGTGGTTGCACGGGCACGTTTGCGGCCATATTGTGGGGATGTCTCAGGAGGTTCGCTTGTTTCTGGGCTCAACAGGGAGGGAAATGACAGGAACGAGGATGAGGAGGAGGAACAGGAGGAGAAGGAGGAGGAGGAGGCGGGGGATCGTGAGGAAGGGCATGGGGGTGCGGAGGGGGAGGGGGAGCAGGAGGATGAGGAGGAGGAGCAGGAGCAGGAGAAGGGAGGGGGCGGAGGAACAGGAGGAGGAGGAGGAGGAGGAGGAGGGCGCTTTGCTCGAAGGTCCTTGACGCGAGCAGAACGTTTGTTCCGAAGTCCAGGACATATATATATATATATATATATATATGTGTATATATATATATATGTATGTATTCATAGGGGGTGACTGCGAGGGGGGGCGGTGGTTGTGTGCGGGGATCGTTGGAAATGCTCACCGTGGCACTATCCTCCAACATGACATGCACTTATGGCCTTGTGTGGCTAAACGCTCGTCTTACATATCCCACTGCCAACTATCCTACAACATATGCACATGTGGGAAGCTCCAAAGCTACCACGGGCTGAAAAGGGGAAGGCCTGGCAGCTGAGGAGGGGGGATGAAGAGGAAGAGGCTCGCATTCAACCATACTCAAAGCTCACTCTGACTCATACGCAATCACTCGCATTAGGGGTCACTCGTCTTCGTCGGCCCTGTCGCCCACGTGGACGCGCTATTGTAGTCGACCGCTCATGAACAGACGCTCACCACGGCATGACATAAAACATGAGATGCACATATGGGGAGCTCCACGCAGTGAGTAATTTCCTCGGCGCGAGGGGATTTGGGGATGCTGGCCGCGTGCGTGGCGTGCCAGACGAGGGCCTCGCCTTCGGCGCGTTCCCACCCGGCGGGGGCGCCCTGGAGGAGGAGGAGGAGGAGGAGGAGGACGAGGAGGAGGAGGAGGAGGAGGAGGAGGAGGAGGAGGAGAGGAGGAGGAGGAGGAGGAGGAGGAGGAGGAGGAGGAGGAGGAGGAGGATGAAAGAGGGAGGGAGGGAGGGAGGCAGGGGGAAGGCCTGCGGGAGGCGGCGGAGGTGGAACCAAGGGATGCAGGGTGTCCGGAGTCGGCCACGTGCGCGTGGGGCCTCGGAGAGGTGGGGGTGCGGGCCGCCGCGGGGCAGGTGGACCTGGAGCCTCCCGTGAACGAGTCCGCCGCGGAGCTGGTGCCGGGCGCCACGGAAGCCCGGACCTCTGCCGTCGTGTTTTTTCGCAGCTCAGGATGGGAGTCTCCACTCACCTCTGAGTGGCCCCCTCCTCAATCCGCCTCCGCGGCCGCCCTGTCTGTCTCAGTCTCCCCTCGTGCATGCTGGGCAACTCGCTCTTCGGTAGCCCCGTTTAGCTCGACCGCTGGCGACCGCTGGCGCATATATACCTCTGCCTCGCCGCCGACGTAACAAGTTTCCGGACCCTCCTGCGTTGGGTACCCGTTTTGAATAGAGAGCATTGCGGTCTCCACCTCCTTCCTCCCGCCTCCCTTCTCCTCTCATCCCTCCTCGCTATACCTGTGGGGCTGCGATCTGCGAAACTGTCGCCACTTTCGAGGCTTGCTGGGGGGTTCAGCGGATTGAGGCACCACCCAGACTTAGATTAGACCTCGCGGTCCTTGGGGGGCTGCGACCTGTGAGATTGTCGCCACTTTCGAGGGCTGCTGGGGGGTTCAGCGGATTGAGGCACCACTTAGACTCAGTTTGAACCTCGCCAGCGATCTGCGAAATTGTCGCCACTTTCGAGGGCTGCTGGGGGGGGGGTGCGACTTGCGAAATTGTCGCCACTTTCGAGGGCTGCTGGGGGTTCAGCGGATTGAGGCACCACCCAGACTCAGATTAGACCTCGCCGTCCCTGGGGGGGCTACGATCTGCGAAACTGCCGCCTCTTTCCAGGGCTGCTGGGGGGTTCAGCGGATTGAGGCACCACCCAGACTCAGATTAGGGCACCACCCAGACTCAGCTTGAACCTCGCCATCCCTGGGGGTCTGCGATCTGCGAAATTGTCGCCACTTTCGAGGGCTGCTAGGAGGTTCACCAGAGTGAGGCACCACCCAGACTCAGATTAGACCTCGCCGTCCCTGTGGGGTTGCGATCTGCGAAACTGTCGCCACTTTCGAGAGCTGCTGGGGGGCTTACCGGAGGGAAACACCACCTAGATTCAGATAAGACCTCGCCATCTCTGGGGGGCTGCGATCTGCGAAGTTGTCGCCACTTTCGAGGGCTGCCGGGGGGTTCCGCGGGGCGCTGTCGCGGGCCGCCCGCAGACCCAGCCACGCGCCTTCGAGTGTTTAGCTCCCGCACTGAAGAGTGGAGCAAGGAAGCTGGGAAGCTGGCGGGCAAACTAGGCCTCGCTCGCCTCTTGCACTGCTTATAAGTCGGTTTAATAATTTTGTCGAGCGCCGCGGCGTCATGGCGCAGGCAGCGCTGCATCTTTAGCCTACTACCGACGAAAACAACATTCGTCGGTCTCCTCGTGTCACTTGCGTCGTCGTCCTCTGCCCATTGCCACCTTCCTTCTGCTGCTGCCGCGCTGACGGTTCGACCCCCCGCGCGTCCTTCTCCTGTCCTTCGTTCCCGCCCCCATGTCCTTTTCAAGCCTGGGCCCTCGCTCCTCGTCCTTCTGTTGTTGTCCCGTGAATCATGCCACGTGGGCGCGCTCCATGTAGCTTGCACAGCATATAACGGCCTCTGCGCTGTCATTATCCAGGCAAGTTTGGGCCAACTTTTCTTTGCACATGATGCAAATGGGTTGGGTACGTCGCAAGGTCATTTTTCGCAGCGTGGCTCCTCAGAGGTGTGGACCCCCTTCAGATCCTGGCGATGTATTTTCTTCACAACGAGCTTGTTCGCCCGGCTTCGGCCCCGGGACCCCCGCGCAGAAAGAGGGGATCCAGGGCTCGAGCCGTCAGGTCTGATGGATCTACCAGGGGCCAGCTTTTCATCTTGCGTCGTTTATCGAGGCTCCCAGGCCTGGTGATGACCCACCGACGCCGAAGACAGCAAGCAATTCTTGACGCTTCGCGTATCCCCACCAGTCGTCCTCTACGTTGCAAGGATTTTGGTTTCGGCATGTGTGGCTCTGTGCGCCCGTCGGCTGCTTTCTCCTGCATGGATTCCGTTTTCGACAAGTGCCACTGCTGTACAAACAGAGTTATTGTCGTTTGCAGTTCTATCTGTGACGAGGTTGCCCCCTCATCACTCTTGCGTTTACACGATGTTTCGACATTTGTGTTCGTCCACTTCACGGATGTCTTCTGGGAGGCGTGTCGGTCTCGTTCGTTCTGACGTTGCCGGCCGAACCACTCACAGTGTTCGACCTCTACGTGATTTCGGTCGCGCCGCCGCGCCATTTTGGCTGCGTCTACTTGCTGGTAGTCACCAGGATGTGCGGACGCCACTGGGAATGGGTCTAGCTGTTCTTTTCGCCCTTCTGAGCTGCCGCCCGGCTGCTGCGCCTGTCTTGCTTTCCGTTTTTCGCTGCCTAGTCGTGGCCCGCCTAGAGTTTCGACGCCTTTCGGCCCGCTTCACGACGCCGTTGACCAACAAGTATCCCCACCAGTCAGCCCGCGGCGCAGCTCAGCGTTCCTCGGCGGTAGTTTTGCAGCCGCCTGTGCGCGTTCGGTTAATTCGGTTTGTTCGTAGCCCGAGCTGATTTGTGACGCCGCTGTGCGCCTTCGCCTGAGGTCGCGACGGAAAAATCCCATCCATTTTGTATGCTACGCTCGTGGACGCCGCCCGGCTTCTTTCGACGCGGTAGCGATTAACACAAATCTCCACCAGCCCATCCAGAAAAGATGCCCAGGCGAGCTGCCCTAATCAAAGACGCGGGGGAACACACACAGGAACAAAGAGTTCGAGAAACCGTCGTACGGCAAGAGGGGGACGAAAGCGGATGAATCGGAGAAGGAGGAGGAAGGGAGGAGGAGGAGGATGACCAGGAGGAGGAGGAGGATGACACGGAAAAATAGCACTACTACTACTACTACTACTACTACCACTACTACTACTACTACTACTACTACTACTACTACTACTACTACTACTACTACCACTACTACTACTACTACTACTACTACTACTTACTACTACTACGACTACACTCTACTACTACGACTACTACGACTACGACTACGATACTAACTACGACTACGACTACTACTACTATTTTACTACTACTACTACTCTTACTACTACTATTACTACTAACTAACTACTACTACTACTACTACGAGTATATAGTGAGTAGTAGTACTACTACTAACTACTACGACTACTGCTACTACTTACTACTACTTACTACCATTACTTTTCTAATATTCTACTCTACTCTACTACAAATACCCCCACTACTACTACTCCTACTACTCACTAGCTATTACTTACTACTACTAACCTACTACTAACTACTACTACTACTACCACGACTACGCACTACGACTACTACTCCTACTACTACTACTACTACTCTACTACTAGTAGTATAGTAGTAGTACTACTACTACTACTACGACTACTGCGACTACTATAACTACTACCATTACTTCTTCTTCTACTATTTAATACTACTATCTACTACTAATACTAATAAGTCGTATTACATACGCCTACGTCTAACTAACTACTACTACTACTACTACTACTACGAATACTACTACTAGTGCTACTACTACTACTACTACTACTACTACTACTACTACGACTACTACTACTACTACTACTACCACTACTACCACTACTAATACTACTACTGCTACTAGTACTGCTACTAGTGGTACTAATACTACTACTAATGCTTCTACTTCTACTGCTACGACTACTACTACGATTACGTCTACTACTACGGCGACGACTACTACTACTACTACTACTACTACTACTAGTACTGCTACTACTACTACTACTACTACTACTAAGTAGTAGTAGTAGTAGTAGTAGTAGCAGTA